CACCATGCATGCACATACACATACATACACACATACACGCCACACACATATAAATTCCATTTGTATTCCAAGTACATCTTTTTTAACTGTTTAATCAATATTGATAATAAAATATCATCATCATCCATTATACCTTCAAGCATCACTCAATAATCATCAATCAACCTTGTTTTTTTTTGTTGAAACAGAATTGTTATGGTGGCCTCACTTATATATATAAAATATTTTTAAAAGGAACAATAAATAATAAGTATTAATTATATTTTGGTTTTTTTTTTTAAAAAAAAAGAAAATATTTTAAGAATATTTTATGATGTTATAGTTCTAAAATAAAATTCAAAGTTCTAAATATTTATATTAATTTAATCCATAATTTTTCTAAGTATCAAAATTTAACCAGATAGATTCCTCTAAAATAAAAAAATCCCATTAAAAATATAATGCTTGATAGCCAAAAAAAAAAAGAAAAAAACAGCCTCAATCCTTTAAACTATCTCTCTCATCACTTTAAATGTCAAATTGCAAATAACTTTATAAAGCTAATGCATTTTTTTTGATTATTTTAAAAATAATAAATTAACCATTCATCTCATCAATAAAGTAAATTAATCATTTCCATCCACCCAATTTTGCCATGCTTCATCGTAAGCGTCTTCCAAAGATCTCACAATACTTTTAGTGTTGAAGAGGTCCATAGTATCTCTTTTAAGAAAAAGTTCTTTTCTTAATTGAGCTAAAATTCCGTCAAAAACATAAGTTGAACCAGTCCAAAACTTTATTCTGTGAGATGATGAATATGTCACTGCTTTGTCTATGTAATCTAGTAAATCATTTGCCACAAGTTTTTCTTCAAATCCAGCAGCAGTAATAATTGATTCAGATACTCGTGAACATTGTTTATGAGAGGGACCTTTTACGGTCAATACAGGTGTTCCTGACCACAGTATATCACAGGTAGTAGTATGTCCATTTACAACAGGTGAATCTAATACTAAATCTGCAACTCGACAACGTAATACATGTTCTTCTTTTGATGCAACATCTATTATATTGAAATTAATAAATAATATTATAAATTGATCAACTATCTAATTAAATAAAAGTTAAAGAATTTTTTAGTTAATTACCAGTAACTATTATCCGATCAGCAACATATTGACCTGCCCATTCTCTTGCAAGCTCTTTAAGGTTTGAAGCACCCAATTTGGGGAATTTAAGAAGCCAAAGTATTGATTTTGGAACTTTTTCAAGTATTTCTATCCAAGATTTGAATGTCAATGGATCAAATTTATAACATTGATTAAAATTTGCAAATATCACCCAATCTAGAGGAATTAAAGGAAATAGCATAGCTCGTAGTTGCAATCTTCTATGCTCTTCAAATAATAACTTTAATTGTGGATCATTTATTCCCTTTAAATGTTCATCATCCCTAAAATTTTGTCTGTGATCGTTGACAAAATAGCTACCCTTTTCAAACCTGATTACTTTTTCACAGTATATCCAATCATCATCTTCAACTTCTGGGTCAAGTTCTTGATATAAATCACCTATATTCTTTCTTCCCATTTTGTAATGATATAAACCTATCATGTCTTCAGGACAAACCACTTCATCTAAAATCGAGTAATCAGTCCACATTCCACCCATTGTCCCACAATAACCCATATAACTTATTTGCACAGGTACAGGGCGAGCTGCAAAAATCTTATTATGTTCACCTGCTGTATAACCATTCAGATTTACTAAAACATGAATACCGTCATAAACTATTTGTTGTACAATCTGTTGATCTGTCATCTTTGAACAATCGTAAAAAAAATCAGATCCTTGCTCAATTCTGGCTCTGTAAATTGATCCGTCGCTATCTGTCAAAGAGTAGCAATATATTTGATATTTGTTTTTATCGTGAAGATTAAAAACTGATTGCATTAAATGAGCCAATGGATGATTTCTAAAGTCTGATGAAATATATCCAATTTTAAGTCTAGGAGCTGGTGGTGGCGGTGGTGGATAAACACAATCGTCAAGCCATGATGATGTACAGACATCATAGGCCGTTATTAAGGCTGTACGATGTGATACTAGACGAACTTGTTTCGGTGATAATTCGTATGAAAAAGTGTAGAATGGAACTATTGGCACTTCCTCCGGTCTTGGTAATTGTTTAGGAACTTTAGGACGAACGTATTTTATACAATCAATAGGCGTGACTTTTATTTTTGGCAAAGCTCTAAAACTTCCATAACAGTATCCATAAGTGTCTAAATACCATCGACGCTGTATACGACGCATAAACTGCTGAATAACTCTTAAAAGCCAACCGCCTTCACATGGTAATTGCAGACTTCTTTTCCAACCTTTTATTTTTTCCCTAAGAAATTTCAACGCTTCATCTGAATCATGAACTCCCCAACCCAAAACGTTTATAAGATGTTCAACACCACCATTCATTTTTATCACGCCAGCTCCATATTTAGAACCATTATAAATGAAGCCATCAACAAGATTTGAAATTATCCCCATGTAACCAGTTCTTTGAAATTGAATTGACCGAATCAGCTGTCTAGAAATAGGATCTACATGAATATAACCAATTCCGCCACGCTCTTTCCAATCACAAACAGCAATCAATGCTTGAGAGAGAGTGACCATAATAGCAGGATCCCCGCGTCTTAAATTATTTGCCTCTTTATAGTGACATAGAGCTTTTTCATAATTCAGTTTTGACTTTTCCATCTCACCAATATGCATATGGTAGTAAGCTAACTTCTTGATGATGGAATCACCGACATTTTTGTTAAACCTGTATAAGGTTTGAAGGGCAAATACCGTTTCATAATATTGACCAGCCCTCCAATAAATTTCAGAGAGGTTTTCAAAATAAGTAATTACTTCTTGATTTTGAGGGTCGAGGACTAAAGTTTGTATTTGTAGTGGTTCCATTCATTAAACGGAATCCCTTTCACAAATCTAAAGAATTTATTGCAACACTAATAAGAAATGAAAATGAAACAGTGTAACTATTTATATTTATTTTATTATTATTACTTGAATATGTGTGTAATATGCAGAATGTAGATCATTGCCACACATTAATATTAAAATTTAAAGCTAGAGATTATTATATTTATGATGATTTCTATTTCTTTCCAGCCTATTTTACCATTTAAATTCAATTCAATCGACAAAGGTTTTACAAAATTCCACCACAAATTATTCCATAAAATGCCACAAATTAAGCCCAATAACATTCCAACTATAACTTGAGACTTTGTATGATGACCAATAATTACTCTTGACCAAACAACTGATAAAGCTGTAAAATAAATTATTGAACTTGATGAAATTATTATAAAGTAATTTAAATTAGATGAAAACAGTTGTAATGTTATAAAAGTGGCAAAAAATATTGTAATTGATGAATGTGATGATGGCATTCCATAATCTAGTTTTTCTTTGGATGTTATTAATGATGTTTTTGTACCATATTTATCTTTATATGGTCGTGGTTGACGAAATATAAGTTTTAAAATATTAGCTTGAAAAAAAAAAAATTAGCAAATAAAGTAAGAAACAAAAGTCGCAAGAAATTCGATCAAAAATCATTTAAATTAATTAATAATTACTAATTATTGTGACAAAAGTTCCTCCTGCAATTGTATATATAGTATGGAAATCACGAAAATAACCAAGTACTATTCCTGCAAGTATTGCAAGCCATGTTCTTGTCTAATGTATATGTGTATTAGAAAGATATCATTTATATTTATCGCTAACAAGAAAAATTTACTTACCTTATCAAGAAAATGTAAAAATATTACTCTTGATTTTATAATTCCATTAGAATTCATTTCTTTTTAAAAAAATTTTTTTAAGTTTTGCTGATCTTTGTTAACATTTTATTAACGAAGGAGTGTAACGTGATCTGCATCACTCATTCATTATTATTATTCTCCTAGGACCCCGGATTATAATTCAAAATCTTATTGGCCAATTTGGAACTATCACAGATATCAATGGCATCAAAATCACACACATAATCCTGGTTTAGACTTTTACATTGTGTAACCTAAAAAGGAACTATTACTTACTAATATTGATTTGGTCCTAATAACGCAATCGTTTTTATGATAAATTGAAAATTGCAATGTCTATGAAAGAATAAGAATGGAGGGATAAAATTTATGGGCTATATATTTAACAATCTGAAAAGATTTTCTTTTTTTTTGTAGAAAAAATAGAAAGATTAACAATCAACATCAACATCAGATTTGAATCTGTCATAGTGGAGAATTAGTATGAATTTTTATTCTAAATGATCCATTTCAAGTTTATTATTTTTAAATAAAAATAAATTTTAATTAAATTTATTTGGAGATCAATATATCATAATGAATCAATTAGCATGTCAAGTTAGTAGAATTATTGGAGAGAATATTTTGGAGAGATGATTTCATTGATTGATATTTATTATATATTTAATCATGCAAAAAAATGAACGAATATGACGTATTTTTTGATTAATTATTAAAAGGTTCGTGTTTATTATTTGAAGAGTCAAGCCTGCCATCACAAATGGAAGTGAGATCTTGGTTTCCCAGTCAGATATCTTGGATTTTTCACATTAAGTAAGCTATATTATTTACTCATTTAATAATAATGATGATGATGATGATGAAAAAAAAAAAGCACCAAATATATTCAAACAGAAAAACCAATAACAACTATTGGTTTAACATCTTTAAGAAAAACAAGTGTTGTATCAATTAAGAGTAATCTGTAATTTATTATTAATATTATTAACGAAATAGGTTATTTTCTCTAGAAAGTATAAATGAATATATATATATATATATACACAAAAATACATACATGTATAATATAAATTAGAATAAATAAATATAATATATAGACTTTATAAAATTAATTAATAAAGTAGGAATCGATAATAATTAGGTATCAAAAATAAGATTATTATTACCCATAATAAATAAATATTAACATATAATACAACTATTGTTATCCTTAATACCAAATAATGACTGAAACCAATTGAGATCTTGACTAGCACCATCAGGACTACCAATTTCTACATGTAAACAGCCATCAGTTGGCTTATTTGGTGTACATCGTAAATTGTGTTTCTTAATAAGTTCAAGAACGGCAGGCCGTAGTTTGCTGATACCGTTTATCGAATGTTTACCTTTACCAACAATTATGACTAAATAACTAACACCTTTTAGTTCACATTGTTCTATACGTAATTTAGTTTTTTCAACGGCTTCTTTCACAAACAATCCATGTAAATCAAGTTCTGTTATTGGACGATCTTTATTGTTTTCTTTTTGAAATTCAAGAATATATTTTTTCCCCATCAAAAAATTTAAATAAATAAATGAACATTTTATTTGTTTGAAAATTTATGAAAGAAATTTTTTTAAATTTTTCACCAAGAAATATAATTTCAGCAGCTTTATTGTTGTATTCTTGCATTTTCCTCTCGTGTTCTTTTCCCTGTAAGGAAAGTTTTTTTGCTTTTCCGCCTTGTCGATTTTTGTAAGCATCTTGTGACTGAGAATAACACTCATTTCGTTTTTGAGCTTCAGTGTGAGCTAAATTACGAAAATATTGACAAGTATGAGTATCCTCAACATTTTTGCTGTCTGAAGAAGAGGTTTGTCCCATTTATAGTTTTATTATTTTAAAAATTTAACTAACATCATTCATTATAATATAGTATATAAGGGGAATTTTTTGTATCACAAATACAAATTTTTCATTTAGATTTATTTAATAATAGCAATAACAACCAAAATACCATGAACATTACAAATCAACAAAATAATCCTACATCATCAGTCAGGCCAGCCTTAAATCTTCAATTGAATACTCCCAATTTACCAGTGCATACACAACCACGAGCTGATCAAAGAATTGTTCAACAATCAAAAAATAATGATAACATCACCAACATCAATATTGCTATTCCAAACCATAATCAATCTACATCAAGAACAATTTCTTCGCCTGTTGCTCAAATCAATCCATCAACTCTAAAAAATGAAAACGATAATAACAATTCATCAAATGGTGATACAATTGAGACAATTAAACCAGAAGAAGCTGCTGCTATTCTTGATGTTATTAGAGAACTTGATGCTAGGGCCCGTAAAAAAAGAATTCAATGCCCTGAAATTACCTATCTTACTGATGAAGAAAAAGCAATAATTCATGAAAAATTAGATTTATTAAAACCAATGTTCAATGTAGTTGACAAAGTACTTCCTTACTTTTATTACTATACCAAATCTCAACCTGGCACACAGCGACTTCTCATCATGAAATATATGATTGATGACCAATTAAAAGCATTGCCCGGTAAATACTTGCTTTCATTGAAAGCAGTAGATTGTTTTTTGGTACAATTCAGCAAATATTTTGTATTTGTTGAAGCTAGGCGAAAAAGCACAAGCAATTTTGTCACTACAAATGTTCAAAATCAAATAATACCTCTTATGACCAAGATAGCCATTCCATCAACCCTTCTAACTCCAAAGCATTCTTCTGATCTTACTATTAATATTAATATGATGAAGCGTAATCTTGAAAATCAAAATGAACAACAGGAAGGTAGCCCTTTATCTTCACATGGTAATTACAATTCAAGCAAAAAGAGGATATTGGAGAGTCGTGTTTCTGTTAAGGATGGAATCAACAATAATAGTAGTGGTGGTAATAACGTTAATACCGATATCAATGTCGATTTTGAATGTGACGAAACAACAAACTTACCTAAAGATTATGTTAAGGAAGCAAAATTTGATGAATCACTAAAAAAACACGAAATTGGCAGTTAAAGATGTCATGAAAATTCTCCCTTCTTGTAATACATATTTGGTAACTGGTTCTGTATTAGCAAAATCTGCTTGATGATTCTACTTCATTGAGAGGATTGATTTAGTTGGTTGCTTTATTTTATGCATATATATATATATATAAATGAATATTGATTAATATTAGTTTATAAACTTTATCTTAAGTTTTAAAATTTTATATGGGTCTTTTTTTTTTTATAAAAGTGACTCTTCCTTCAATATATATATATAACCTTTGGGCAGATTTATATCATAAAATAATTATTAATGTTTAAATTTTAAATTAATCAATCTTTTGTCTAAAGATATTGTTGTTTTAGTAGTTTTGAATAAAAGGAAGATTTAATTTCACGTGAATTTCAAGATAGTTTTCTTTGATAATAATAATAACACAAAATTTTATCTATTTTAAAAAAAATCTTTAGATTATCGAAAAAATTTAATCTAATCATAAACATTAATTATATATATTAATATAGAATTTGGTTCCTCTCGAATTTATTCAAAAATTTTTTTTTGTAAAATTTTTAAAAATGCAAACAAATTTATACCGTATTTCTAAAAATTGTATATTATCACCATATAACAAACGATTTGTTCCCGTTGCCTTCAATTTATGTCCTAGTAACCATTTAAAAAATCAATTTTCAACGACGACAGCAAAAGGTTACTCAATAAACCTTACAGAATATCCATTACTAGCACCAGCACCACTCGGAACACCTCATTATTTAACTCATGAACACTTGACAGCAAAAGAGATTTATAATTTATTGACTTTAGCATTGCAGCATAAATACAATGTCAAATATTTAAACAAAAGTTCAGGGCGTCCTTTAGAGAGTAAAACTTTAGCAATCATGTTTTCTAAAAGATCTACAAGAACCAGAGTTGCTACTGAAACTGCTATTAATTATCTTGGTAGTTGTTGTTCAATTCATTTATGAATTTTAAATAATTATTTATCGCATTGATAATTAATCGTAGATTTTATTTAATAAATTTTTAAAAAGGTGGACAACCAATGTTTTTAGGATCACAAGATATTCAGTTAGGAGTAAATGAATCATTGATAGATACAACAAAAGTTGTCAGCAGTATGGTGGATGGTATTATGGCACGTGTCGGATCTCATAGTGAGATTGAGGTAACACAGTTGATACTATTAAATAATTATAATTTATATTACAAGATAAAAAATTAACAATTCATATGTATACATAAATAATTCTAAAGACGTTAGCAAAATACTCCACTGTACCAATAATTAATGCATTATCGGATAAGTACCATCCAACTCAAATATTGGCTGATTTAATGACTATTCATGAAGTATTGGGACCTCAACCAACATCCTTATCACCATATGTGGCTCATGCAACTCATCCAAACAAAACATTGCCAGGTCTTAAAGTTGCATGGGTCGGTGATGGCAATAATATACTTCATAGTATGTTGGTAACCTTTCCAAAATTAGGTATAAATTTATCAATTGCAACACCAGATAATTACAAACCAGATGAAAAAGTTGTAGAAATAGCCAAAAAAGAAGCAGAAGAAACAAAATCAGAATTGATATTTACAAACGACCCAAAGATTGCTGTTAAAGGTGCTGATGCTATTGTTACTGATACTTGGTAAAATCTATTGATTTAATTGGTCAATTTTTGTTGGTTGCATTTATCGATACTCTATTTATATCTGATTTTTCTCTAAATTAGGATCAGTATGGGTCAAGAAACAGAGAAAGCACAACGTATAAAAGATTTTGCTGGATATAAAGTAACTTCACAATTAGCAAAAGAAGGTGGAGCAAAATCTAATTGGAAATTTTTGCATTGCTTACCTAGAAAACAAGAAGAAGTGTCTGATGAGGTATTTATTATATATAGCATAATTTATTAAAAACATCTTTAACTTATACATATTTTTTTATAGGTGTTTTACTCTTCAAATTCAGTTGTATTTCAAGAAGCTGAAAATAGAAAATGGACAATTCTTGCTGTAATTGATGCTTTACTTGTAAAGAAAACGTTTGATTTTTAAAACTATTTTTATCATGTATTTATTTATTTATTTATTTATGTAAGGAATGAACAATGCAACATTTTTCATATAAACTTTAGTTTTTTTTGCTTAAAAAGGAAATTATAAGTTTTGTTTATTAGCAATAATTAATTCTTTATTAAGAACGGCAACTCTACGACTAATACATGATAGTAAGCTTTTATGAAGAACCATCCACACAGAGTTGCAGTTCCAAAACCTTATCCGAGTTCCTAATAAAAATACTATTGCAAAATACATCCTTGGATGCCAGAGTTCCTGTATATCGTGAACGTCCCTCTATCCGTCATTTAAACACTATACATCTACCAGAAATAAAGACAAGTTAAATCTCAAAGTGTTTTACTATTTTTTAAATGAACAGTTATTGTTTTATAACAGATAATAGCATACACGAAATAGTAATAGGTTTATTTCATTTCGACAATCATGGTTCCGACTAAATTTGGAAATTTGGAAATTTGAAATTCTAAATTCTCTAAATTAAAAAAAAATATATTGGTTTTTAAAGGTAAAGTTTTTCAATAAACATATGCACTGATTTTGTTTGATCCCCAAAATTCAGTACGGTATGATCATAACATTATGAATACTTTATACTAGTAAAAACCCATTGGTTTGACGGGTTGATGGATAGTAAATTAGTTTTTTAGCGGAGCAAATAATTTTTTTTTAGGGTAATTATCATTCTAACGACCAGTTTACACATTAAAAATACTCGTGTTTAAGCATCGAGACACAATAAGACATAAGGTTTGAAAAAAGGCCCAAAAAACCAAATCGGCTGATATGATATGTGTTAGATACCCAGAGGGTTATTTTATAGAAGATAGATTTTTATTGATTATTATTTTCTTTTTTTACAATATTTTTTACTATTCTAAATCTCTTATTATTTTTTTATACTGAAAACTGAAATCAAACAAGAGTATATTTACAATTAATTGATAAGCGTAATCCCATATGAATTCTTTCGTATCATCATCTCTTGTTAAAGGAAATTTTTCATTGACAGATTTTTTAAAATCAGTTTCCTATAATGAAAGACTTTAATTACCATAAAGTCTGGAAAGATAGCATCCCCTTTTTACATATGTGTAACATTTTTTTTATATTGACGCTCAATTGTTTTAAAGTAGGGGGTGCTATCTTTCCAGATTTTACGGTAGATATTTTCAAAGTCCAGTCAATGATAGTAATGAAGTTCTTCTTTATATACATACCTTCACCATTTCTATAATTAGTTGTTTAATATTATTGTCTTTATTAATATTAATTGGCGTGGGATAGGGTTGGAAAATTGACTGGTCCATTGAGAATGGACCCAATAGACCATCAATGGACCACACATTTGCCAACCCTGGTGTGGGATTAAAATTCATTACTTCATTACGCTCAGCATCTGACAATAAGTTGGATATGTCGTCGTTATTTGATTTTGGTGTAATATCAATATTGTAAAATGTTATTTAAAAACTTTTTTACTCGTTATGAGGACGTTTTTTTTCATTTTTCCATTTTTTTAACTAATTCAGAAATGCTTTTTCCGTCACTGCCAATTATCCACTCTTCATTTACCATATTCATTCCCTTCAGAATCAGAGTGATGTTATCTGGCTAAGCCTTTTACTACCTAAATTGGTAATTTTATTTCTATAACCAGAAGGTAACGCGGAAATCTATTACCAAATTTAGGGATTATGTATGCAGATTATTGGCCGGCTAACATCACTAAAAGTCCATAGCAATAATCTATTTTTCAAGTTTTTCGGTTTCTAATTATATAATAATAACTACCTTTTTGGTGACATTTTTCTCTCGATCTAATAGGCCAATACCAAGTGAAAGAGCACCGTCAAACAAACGTGCATTATCCTTGCTGTCAAAGTGATTAAACAATTTGTCATAAAATGAGTTAAAATGTAATAGCAATTATAACAATAACCAGAATGATGAGTCATTCTTTCTAAATAACTAGAGTGACGATAACCACCATTCTTATGATTAAATACTTACCCACTGCCTCCTTCAAATTCTTTATTTCATCTTTGCTTTGATTTTTTGTCTCGTGGTATTTTAATAAGTGATGAATGTCAAAATTTCCTCTAAGAGGAAAATAGAATCAACAAATTAAAAAAAGGGAAGATAGCCAGCAAAAGGATGAAAGCTGAAAGCAATGAACGAGGATTTAATTATCACTAGCTTAAAAAAGTAACCAAAATATTTAAATGTGTAAGAATAAAAGTCAAAGTAAAACAAATCAAACAAGTCAAGGATCAGCATGAGTTTATGTTTTCAGATTACTGATGGATCAAGATCGCCAGTGTACTACATGAAATTCATTTGTTCACTTTATTATGGTTGGCAATTTTGTAATTTGTTCAAAAATGCAATAAAAATTTTCGAAAATAGGACTTCACGTGATTTTGGGTTTAAAAATT